CGTGTGCGGGGGCGTGTGCGGGGGCGTGTGCGGGGGCGTGTGCGAGGGCGTGTGCGGGGGCGTGTGCGGGGGCGTGTGCGGGGGCGTGTGCGGGGGCGTGTGCGGGGGCGTGTGCGGGGGCGTGTGCGGGGGCGTGTGCGGGGGCGTGTGCGAGGGCGTGTGCGGGGGCATGTGCGGGGGCGTGTGCGGGGGCGTGTGTGGGGCGTGTGGGGCGTGTGGGGCGTGTGTGTGTGTGTGTGTGTGTGTGTGTGTGTGCTGTGGCCTCGGCAGCGCGACGACAGCGTCGTGGTCGACAGAAGGGGTGCGGCCTCGGGAGCGGGAGCGCGCTGCAGGTCACGAGAGCCTGTGGCCTCGGGAGCACGAGCGCGCCGTGATGTGCGAACGGCTGCGGCCCCGGGAGCACGAACGCGTCCTGCTGCGAACGCGTCATAACTCACAAGAGGCTGCCCGCGCTCCAGAACCCTCCGCTCTTGGAGCGAGCGGCCAGGCCCTGTATGACATCCGACACCTGGCACCTCCGCACCAGGACCGCCGCTAACTGGGGAGCAGCAGCCTCCGCCACGCAGTCCGTAGGCCCCCCAAAGGGGGCCGGCGGATGCTTTTGGAGGGGAAACCACAAGGTACCTGTATCACTACTCTCCGGACCTCTCCTGGGGTGCGTTCCGACCAAGAGTTCGAGGCGAATCCAGAGGTGGCGACGAGGGCCGCCCAGGAGGCCCACAAAGGGGGAAACGGGCGAAGGGTAGAGGTACGGGAGCCTCTTCCTCTGAAGTCCGTAGCCCCCCGATGGAGTTGGCGAATACTCTCGTCTCGGGGAGTCGCCGCCGCGTGAGGGCGTCGCGAACCTACCGCAAGCAATCCCCCCTTCCGTGCCCAGTGCGAGGCGAGGGGTGGGGACGAGGGGGCGGCGCGCCATCTGCGCAGCGCCCCCGTGTGGGCGAAGATGACCATGCCCTTTTCTCGTCTCTCCCCCTCCTCCTTCCTTCTTCCGTATTCCTTCTTCCTTCTCCTCATCCTCCTCCTCCTCCTTCCTCCTCACCTTTCCCCTTCTCCTCCTCCTCCTCCTCCTCCTCCTCCTCCTCCTCCTCCTCCTCCTCCTCGATACGGTACATCGACAAAAAGGTTGCACCACCTGGTGCCCGCGACATCAGACGTCGTTGTGCAATCGACGTTTCGCGCTCGCTCTACCCCTCCCCCCAATCTAGTACTGGCTACGGGCCGGGATCGCCGAACCAGCTCAGTGGTGCAAGCAACATCTCGTCGGGCGCCAGGGAAATCTGGAGGAGCTCTTTCCCGCCTGCCCCACACACTAGATTGGGGGCAGGGGGAGGGGAGAAGGATGGAAGCACGCGTGCGAAGCGCAAAGTGCTGCAACATGTTGTCGATGTACGGTACAGTCGGCCTTGATTGGACAGGACACGCGAGAGGATACAAGACCCTTCCGAGGGCCACATCGCCATAGGAGTGTAAGAAGGCACGTGTCGCGAGGCACAAGACACAAGGGTACCCTTGAGCTGGCAGGGTCGACCTACTAATCTGGGCCGACTGTAATGAAAAAGGGGAAGGGGGTCACTGCGTTTGGGGCGGATTTCGGGGGGGAAGTGCTCGAGCGACAGAAGCCGCAGGCAACGTGGCGCGGTGTCGACTGTTGCGTCCTGGAGCGGGGACGCAGCGGAAGCTCTGAGACCAGCTCGCTGTGCCGCTCGCAGGGGATAGTCAGTCTGTCCCCAGATCGGGACCCTTGGACTTTGCTGTAGCGCTGGAGGTTGCCCCTGTCAGTACGTTATACGTGGTATGCCACCCGTCCTTGCACGAGTGCTGGTGACGAAGGGTGAGACAGGCACACACGCGGCTGGCCACCGAGGCTTGTGACACAGACCTCGGCTGACCCTGGCTTCAGTCTGCCCAGCTTGGCCCTAGCTGCAATGCATGGCCCCCCTCGCCCTCGTTCGCCTCAACCGCACACGCGAAGCGAACCGAAAGCAAAAAAACAAATTTTCCAGTTGGCGGAACCTTTACTCCGGTCTCACCCAGCACCCTCCGGATGGAGGGAGGTCGTATTCGTCCCGTGGCTTCGCTCAGGGCGTGCTCGGCATGCTCGGACAGACTCGGGGCGGGTGGCGCACGTGTGCCACCTTCGCCACCGCCCAAAGGCAGGAAGAGCAAGCAGGCGGAGGTGGAGGAGGAGCAGGGCTTGGGAGAAGGACGCAGGAGGGCGAGGAACACGAGGAGGAGGCCGGAGCAGCCTCCCTCCCCTGGAGGCCCCCCGCGTGGGGGCGCCCGCCGTGTCGAAGTCGATCAGCTTCGCGCGGACCGCCGTGGGGCCGCCGCCTCCCGGCTCTCTCCGGGACACCTGCAGCACGGAGCTCCGCTTGGGTCGGGCATGTCCTCCTACAGGCGGACTCTGGGGCGAAGAACAAGAAGCAATCGAGAAAGAATCACACACAGTCAAACATAGTAAGTGGACAACTCGTCCCCGGACTGTGTCTCGACTGCTTGAAAATACTCCTCCTGTGCAGGGACGGGACAGGCCCGACTCCAAGCTCCGCCCAGCAATCGCGCGGGCGCGGAGGTGTGCGGTCGAGGGACCGTCGCGCGCCGCCGCTGTGCCTCGCCGTCGCCGCCGCCGCCGCCGCGGGGGGATGTCCTCTGGTGGGGAGCGAGGCGGAGGGATGCACAGTCGGCCTTGATTGGACAGGACACGCGAAAGGATACAAGACCCTTCCGAGGGCCACATCGCCATAGGAGCGCAAGAAGGCACGTGTCGCGAGGCACAGGACACAAGGGTACCCTTGAGCTGGCAGGGTCGACCTACTAATCTGGGCCGACTGTAATGAAAAAGGGGAAGGGGGTCACTGCGTTTGGGGCGGATTTCGGGGGGGAAGAGCTCGAGCTGGCAGGGTCGACCTACTAATCCGGGCCGACTGTACCCGTACACCACCGCCGGAGGGACCGATTTTCGGGGGCTGCGGCAAGCTGTGGACATGGAAGACAGCTGCCCCCCGCCGCCCTCGGGAACCCGAAAACGATGAGGTCAACGCCCACCGCCCCCCCCCGGGTCCCTGGCGGCCGATCCCCAAGGCGGTGGTGATGGACAAATCCCCGCCTTTGAAGGGAGAGAGTCTGGGAATAAACCATGGCATACACAGAAACTTTCGGAGATCCGCGCTGATTTCTCATTTTGGCGCTGGGCCCCCCAGGGGCGGCGCTGGAGGCGCTGCCAAGGAGTTCTTCAGGCGCTGGCCGCCGCGACTGTTTGCAAGCATAAATCCAAGTAGATGTGCAAATCGAGTGAAAATAAATCAAAGCAAAACCCACCAAACATGCAAAAGCACGGTTTCATGTTAAAGTCGTTTTGGGGGGCATGGCCAGCGGTAATGCTGGCGTGGGGTCAATTAGTGGTCGCATGCCCATCGCCAGGTACGGTCCAGAACTTGTGCTTCGCGTGTCGCGGCGGCGGCCTGGGCGACACGCTATGCCATGCGAGCGGATAGCGTGTCGCTCCGCTCCGCGGGGCGAAGGCTGGGAAAGGCTCGGGACCTTGACGCTCAGGGACCGCGACGCGGATGGCGTGTCGCGCCGAAACGTGTTGGGCCAGGACTGGCGGAGCGATACGGTATCCAGAAAATCCCGACCATAGGGCCCGCGAGGAGGAGGAGGAGGAGGAGGAGGAGGAGGAGGAGAAGGGCGGGAGGTAGGAGGGTGGCGGGAGGAGGAAGGGGTGAGGGAGGGAGGGCTGGGGAAGGATCGAAGGGAGGCGGGCTGGGGAAGGACAGAAGGGAGGCGGGCCGCGAAAGGATGGAGGACGGAGCTGGGAGGTCATGGGGGGGGGGGCAGGCAGGACATGAGAAAAGGGGAGGAGGTCTCCGGAGGTCTTCACAAGTCTCCGGAGACCCCTGGAGACCTCCAGAGGCCTCCGAACATTCGGCCCTCGATGCCCCATCGAAGAGGGGTGGGAGGGGGGGAAGGAGGAGGCAAAGCGTGGCAAAGGAGGAGAAGAGGGAGGGGAGGGAGGACGGGGAGGAGGGGGAGCGAGGAGGGAGAGCGACAAGATGGGGAGGAGGAGTGGGATGAGGAGGGGGAGGATGGGGACGGGGGGATGACAAGCTAGGTGCGCTAGCGTCACATCTGACGTCCTATCCCTCCCTCCCGTCCCTCACCATGGCGTAGATAACCTATCTATTTGCAAAATCGGATGTCGAGCAGGACAATGATCCAACGAGGGTACGCGGTGGATGGAAACGCATGGCGTAGAGGAGCACGGCAGACCACGGCACGTCATAGCATGGCGTGGCATTGCGCAGTGAAGCATTTCACAACAGAGCACAGCAACGCAAAGCATGGGCGTCGCAAGCGTGGGAAGGAGGCCAGGACCAACGGAAAGGGGACCAGCGCTGCCGCGGGAGCACGACTTAGCAGAGCTGGAGCACAGGAGCGAGGCCGGGACCGAGCACAGGAGTCGGGCGCACGATCTGGAGAGTCCGAAGCACTGGAGTGAGGCCGGCGCTGCAGCGGCAGCGCTGCCGGAAGGACCGAACACGCCAGTGCAGCTGCGGGATCACGATTTGGAACGAGCGGAGGCGCGGGAGCGAGGCCAGCGCTGCAGCGGGAGAACGATTTTGAATGACCGAAGCGCGGAAGCGAGGGCGGCGCTGCTGCAGCGCCGCCCTCATTTCCGCGCTGCAGCAGCGGGAAAATCATTTTGGTAGAACCGGAAACGACCGAATTGAAAAAACAGATGGGGAAAACCAAATAATGAAATCCTGTGCGTCAAAAACTAATACGCCGAGAAGGACGGGGCACTCTCTGGACAGAGTCAGGGGAGAGAGGATAAGAGCTGTCAGATTGCGTGAGTGGAAGAGGCAGAACGTAGCAAAGGAGAAGGCAGGCGCCCCCAGAGTCGAATCGACAAGTCGGATCGGCGATCGAAATGAATCGGATCGGCGAAAATCGGCAGCCGAGCCGGGAGAAGTCGAATCGGCGGAGATCGGCAGGCCAGTGTGCCTCCAAGAAGCGACTGGAGCCCAAATCGGAATCCCGAGTCGGATCGAATTGGCACCGGAAGCAATCGAGCTCGAGTCGAATCGAATCGGAGGAATCGAAACGAGCCCCGAGAAAGAGTTACGCCCAGGCACCTGCGGCCCTGGGGCGTCACCAGGCGTCGCCAGCGCTCCGCACACAGGCCGAGCCGAGCAGCCGAGGCAGAGGCGCCCTCCTGACTTCCACGACGGAGGAGGGCCAGAAGGAAGAGAAGTAAGAGGAGGAGGAGGAGGAGGAGAAGGAGGAGGAGAACGAGGAAGAGGAGGAGGAAGAGAAGTAAGAGGAGGAGGAGGAAGACGAGGAGGAGGAGGAGGAGGAAGAGGAGGAGGAGGAAGACGAGGAGGAGGAAGAAGAGGAGGAGGAGGATTATCACGGCAGGAGGAGGAGGAAGCAGAGGACCGTCTCTCCCCCGTCTAGGCCACCGACCATCACGTTCTCCATCTTCAGGTCCTGGGCGAGTCACAGAGAGGGGGAAGGTCCAACGTAGAAGCAGGAGAGAAAACCTTCCATGACAGACGAAAGTACCTCGTCGCCATCGGCGTCAAAGTTCGAGAATCGGATCGAACATCGTTGCCTTTTTGAGCCTCCGGGACGTTCTGGAGGCGAACAGGAACCCCTGGGGACCTCCAGCACGGGGGATGGTGACGATGATGCTGATGATGATGATGAGGAGGAGAAGAGGAGGAGGATGATGATCACGATCATGATCACGAAGATGATGATCATGATGGTGATGGTGATGGTGATGGTGATGATGATAATGATGATGATGATGATGATGATGATGATGATGATGATGATGATGATGATGATGATGATGATGATGATGATGATGATGATGATGATCATGATGCTAATGATGATGAGGAGGAGGAGGAGGAGGAGGAGGAGGATCCACCGTAGCTGGGGCGGGCCAGTTCGCTGCACAGACTGTCGCTTAGTTGTCAGTGGCGTGCAGGGTTGCGGCAACGGAGGCGGGATAGGGTAGCACTGCCTGGACGTAGGGTAAAGCACACGGTACGTTCCTGTTCACCCATCCTTTGCATGTAAGACCCTTTGTAAAGGCCTCATCTACACCAAGACTACCTAGAATCCAATATTGACGGCAAGCTGACAGGCGTTGGGATGCACGTCGTGCCGTCCCTGAGGAAGTCTCCACGGACAAGGCTTCTTAGTCGATGTAGCTACGTAATACCAGCCGAAGCCATATGATGTGCCCTATCTCCCCCGAGTCGGCCTTCACGACCTCCTACCTGTACGCGTACTTCGACGCCATAACGTCCTGGGTCTTGGATAGCAGCTCATTGGTCGAGCATCGGTTGTATAATCATATCGTGAGCTCCATCTTGAGTGCTTAATCCACCTGTTTCAGGCTGTTGGTGGTATCTTGTTTAGAAAGTAGGCCATCTTCTTTAACGACGACGGCACGTTTGACCTCGGACGGAACCTACACGCGATAGTGGCAACCTCACCTGGCCGTAGACGTTCGAAACGTTTCTAATACAATGTTGACCGAATCTTCGGTGAGGCAGAGCTCGGCGACCTGGCCGTGTTCGTCAGAACCTACTGGGCCACAATCACCTCGTACGCAATCATCAGAAATTCTTGTCATCACGGAAACTCCAAGACGTTGGCATGATACCAGGACGTCACCTTGTCCATGATCACGTAAGTCAATGGGGCTCTGTGTAAACATGTGGTGTTCATGCACATGTAGTGCCGTGTTGGCATCCGCCGAACGACGACGACCGAAGAAGTTGGCGCTCCGCTCAGATGTCTTGGCTTCACGCTGGACCCCCCCCCCCTGGCGTGCGGAGCGCGCCAGGGGCGGCGCCAGAGGCGCCGCCGGGGGGCCCCAATCGCGGATCCACAAAATCCGCGCGGAGCGCCAAAAGTTTACGTGTATATTTGTTTCCCCATATCCAAAAGGATGGGGTTCTTGTTTTTCTCCGACATTGCCGGACCAAGAGAACCCCTCCCCTCCTCCCTCTGATCTAGACAATGATGATGATGATGATGATGATGATGATGATGATGGTGGTGGTGGTGATGATGATGATGATGATGATGATGGTGGTGATGGTGGTGATGATTATTTTCATGATGATGATCATGGTATGGTGAGAGTATGATATGAGAATGATGGTGATGGTGAATGATGGGTGAGTATGGTGATGACGATGATGGGGAAGATGTTGATGTTGATGATGATGATGAGGATGAGGATGATAATGATGATTATGATGATGATTATGATGATGATCATGATGATGATGATGATGATGATGATGATGATGATGATGGTGATGATGGTGGTGATGATGATGATGATGATGATGAGAAGAAGATGATGAGAAGATGATGAAGATGTCTCGAGCGGCTTGCTGGCTTTCGAATTCCTAGGGGGGGCCGCCAGGGGTGTTGCACGGCCTCCGTTCGCGCCCAAATGGTGGGGATGTCTCAGGCGGTTTGCCTGTTTTGGTCCTCAACATCCCATGCTTTCGGCGCAGATTCTGAGGATGTCTCAGGCGAGGCGCATGTTTTCGCACCCCAGGGGGGCCAGATTTCGAGGATGTCTCACGCGGTTTGCGTGTTTTGGTGGTCAGACTCGTCTGCTATCAAAGCAGATTCTGAGGATGTCGATGGCGAGGCGCTGATTTCCGTACTCCCAGAGGGCCCAGATTGCGAGGATGTCATAGACTCACTTATGCTCAAACTCACTCGTGCCCAGGCTCACTCATACTCAGACTCGCACTCATCATACTCATACTCAGACTCACTCACACCCAGACTCAGGCACACTCAGACTCACTCACACTTAGACCCACCCACCCTCAGGCTCATTCGTAGTCAGACTCACTCGTACTCAGACCCACTCTGGGCCAGTTTCATATCCATCATACTCATACTCACACGCACTCACATTCAGATTTACTCACGCTCAGAGTTACTCACACTCAGACCCACCCATCCTCAGATTCACTCGTAGTCAAACTCACTCGTACTCAGACCCGTTCAGACTTAGACGCGTACTTACTATACTCATACTCAGACTCACTGGCTTTCGCACCCCAAGGGGGGCAGGTTGCGAGGATGTCGCAGACTCATTTGTGCTCAGGCTCGTACTCATCATACTCATGCTCAGGCTCACTCACACCCAGTCCATGCAAATAGATGCACATATGGGGAGCTCCACGCAGTGAATCATTCTGTTCCGATTTCGAGACGAGGAAGGGAGCCCCAGAAGTGCCATCAAACAGCGGGCCCGAGATGAGAAACTGCCCGCTGCTGCGTGGCCGTCGCCCCGGCACGTGGGCGGCAAGTCGGGAGAAGCCTGCGCGGGGCCGCCCGCTCCCAGCTGCGCCGGGCAGGTCCCCCGCTTGGCCGCAGACCGCCGCTCGGTGGAGCGCCGTGCTCATCGCGCTCCTCCTCACCCCTCACCCTTGTCCGCGTCCTCCTCGGTGCTCCTCGCCATCGTGGCCAGGCAACTACAGGCTCCTCCTCCTCCTTCTCCTCCTCCTCCTTCTCCTCCTCCTCCTCCTGCTCGTCGCCGTCACCCGCCTCGCCTGGCCTCTCCTCGTCCGCGTCCTGGTTCCCCGCCTCCACCTTCTCCTCCCTCCTTTTTGCTTGCAGATAGCTCCTCCCTGTCGCACCCCCAATCGTGTCGGAAGGGCTGACCGAGCGTTTGGCCGGAGACCTCCCCACATGTATGATCCTCAGGCTAAAAAGCTGCAACTGGTTCACGCATGGAGGGCGGGCGGATTTCAACAGTCTTTAAAATCTTGCAAGGGGTCACGGAAGGAGGGCGGCTCCGTTTTCAAAATGTGGCTCTCACCTTAGCGTGTGTTCAAAAGTGTGGACGGAGTTTCACGGATGGAGGGCGGTGTCTTTTCAATATGTGGTTATCGCATTAGCGCCGCGCACATCCATCTTAAGAGTTTACAGCAATGTCAAGGATTAAAGGTTGACGTCCCAGACATGGTGTTTTGGCACGGTGTGGGACTGTCAGGGTGCAACAGTTACGTTGGTTCGCGGTGAAGATGTTCAAGAAATGGCGTTATGCTACGATTAATGATCGTCAGGACACAACAAGAACGTTGATCGCGACGTTCAAATCCCAAGAACAAAACTATGCCACGGTCCAAGATGTTCAGAAGGTTGCCTTCCAACGGGGTATTTCCCTCAGCGAATAAGAACCCTATAGGGACCTATGAAAGAGGGAACGTTGAGGGATGTTGTATGGCAACATCGTTGATGAGTCGTTGACTTGCAGTGGTCTTCCTTCGCCAATAGACACTGTCGCAACAGACATGTATCCTCCTCTTCCTTCCTCGTTCTGACAAAAGAAAGACACTACTTTTTTGTTGGTTTAGGACTTCGCCTAGGAATGAAGACAAGGAGGAGGATGAGGAGGAGGACGAGGAGGAGGGACGGGGGGAGGAGGGAGGGAGGGAGGGATGAAGGAAGGTAAGTTCCTGCAGGCCCCCCCTCGTTGGTCCTTGTGCATCTGGCCTGCGCCATGCAGGAGCTGCAGTCCGACCAGGATCTGCCTGATGATCTCCCTCGCCTCTGCGTGGCCGACGCGGTCCTCCGAGAGAGGCGCACAGAGGAGCGAGGGGGAGTGGAGGGGGCTCGAAGTGCATACCGAAGTCGACTGGTCGGCCAAGGGGCTCGGTGCAGGGGCACCCCCGCTCCCACACCTGTGGGACGCTGGAGGGTCTACACGCAGAACTGCTTCGCCGAGTGCAGCGGCTCCGTGGCCGACCAAACGACGTGGTGCACGCATCGGGCCTCGCCGTGGCAGGGGATGGCACGGAGCGAGGAACAGGTCGTCGAAGCCCGCGAGAGGGCGGCACCCAGAAGTACCCACTACGCGGAGCTTCGCGGCCCGGCTGTCAATTTTTGTTCCGCGCAGTGATGCCCCACTGGGGCCGTCCTTGCGTCGAAACCTACACTGAGAGGGGAGGAGAAGGGAGGGAGGAGGCAGCAGGCAGGGAGGAGGCAGACAGAGGAAGACAGAGGAGGTAGGGGGGGGGGGGCAAACCTCCCAGCCGAGGAAAGGGACTGAGGAGGAGGACTATAGAGGAGAGTACGAGACCAGGAAGAAGGACAAGGGGAGGGAGGGGGGGAGGGACAAGGGGGGGAGGGACAAGGGGGGGAGGGGAGGAGGGCGGGGTTCCAGGGGAGTGGAGCAGGTGATCCTACGAGTGGAGCGTGGGGGGGCGGAAGGAGGGAGGAGGCGAGGGGCAAGCCAGGTGCGCTCGCGCTGCATCTGACGTCATGTCCCTCCCTGCCCTCCCCTCGCATTGCGCTGAGTTGTTCTCTATCCGCGGACGCGTATCGTAGCCTGACTTGTGGGACCTACAGTCGGACTTGTTTGGAAAGGACACGCGAGAGGACGCGAGACCCTTCCGGGGGCCGCATTGCCATAGGAATGCGAGAAGGCATGGGCCGCAATGCACAGCACAGAAGGGTACCCTTGACTTGGCAGGGTCGACCTACTAATCCGGGCCCACTGTATGGGGCAGGTGGGAGCTGTTTGGGACCTGTGGACCCTGTGGGACTTCTGTGGCTTGTGGGAGCTGTGGGACCTCACCTGTGGAACAGGTGGGAACTGTGGCACCGTAGAACCTGTGGGGCCTTTGGGACGTGTGGGACCTGTGCGACCTGGGGCGGCCTATGAGGATTTTTTTTGTCATCGTCAACCTCCTGCCACTCTCCTCCTCATTCCGTTTCTTCATACTCATCAATCATACTTGCCACCCTGGGCCAAATCCTGCTCCAACGAATCACCTCCCCGATCCCCTTCCCCCTCGTCTCCCTCCTCCCTCTCCCCCTCCGCATAGTGCTGTTTCTCATGCGGCTGCTCCTACGCCTCCCCTTCCTAGTCCCCTGCATCCCCTGTCACCCTCAACTTCTCGCCCAACTTCACCCCCGTGCCGACTGTTCACCACCCTCCTGCCACTCCATCTTTCCCTTCCTGATCCTCCCCAGGATTATTATACCAATCCTCACCATCACCAGCATCAGCACCATCATCATCAGCATCATCAGCATCAGCATCATCAGCAGCAGCATCCTCAGCAGCAGCAGTAGCATCAGCATCAGCATCGGTATCAGCATCAGCATCAGCATACTACTGAGCAACAACATCACCATCATTGTCCTCCTCATCTGCATCGGCATCATCATTGTCGCCGTCATCGTCGTCATCGTTATCGTCATCAACATCATCATCATCACCATCATTATCATCATCATCATCATCATCATCATCATCATCATCATCATCATCATCATCAGGATCATCATCAACATCATCATCGTCATCATCATAACAATCAGCATCGTAATCAACATCATCAACATCATCAACATCAGTATCCTCGCCATCATCATGATCATCAAACTCATAATCACCATGATCATCACCATCATCAACATCATCGGCATTATCAGCATCATCATCCATATCGTCATAGTCATCAATATCATCACCACTGGTAGCATCGTCACCATCAACAGCATCATCGTCACCATCATCATTAGCATCAGCATCACCATCATCGTCCTCACCATCTGCATCGGCATCATCATTGTTCTCGTCGTCGTCATCGTCGTCGTCATCGTCATCATCATCATGATCATCATCATCAGCAACGTCATCATCATCATCATCTCAAGTATCAGCATCATCATCTTCATCATCATGATTATCTTCAGCATCATCATCATCAACAGCATCACCGTCATCTTCGCCATCATCGTCGTCATCATCACCAGCATCAATATCAGCATCAGTATCAGCAGTCTCAGCGTCATCATCATCATCATCATCATCATCATCATCATCATCATCATCATCATCATCATCATCATCATCATCATCATCATCATCATGAATTATCCCCATCATAAGCACCACCATCATCATCAGCATCAGCAGCAGCAACACCACCTCCAACAACATCGCCATTGCCACCACCATCACCATCATCATCACCACCACCAGCATCATCATCGTCATCATCGGCATCCTCACCATGATCATCATCATCAGCATTACCATCATCATCATCATCAGCAGCAGCATCATCATCATCATCATCATCGTCTGCAACATCATCAGCATTATCCGTATCCTTATCATCATCCATCATCGCCGCCATGCATTTCCTATGCGTCCGTCCATCATCCACATAATCCGCTTGCTTTTTCCCACACTTCATCGCCTCGCTTATGCAGGCGATCCACAGCGTCCGAAAAAAATCTGCCTCCACCCCCCAACCCCTTCAAACACGAGCCAAAACAAAACATGCAAAACGACATATCGACGCGCCAGCTCTTGGTTGGACACGTCGTCTTGCCGATTGGGTTGCAACGTCCGCGATAGAGCCATGTGGTTGTAGAGGTCGTCTCGCCGCTGGCGCCGTCACTCGGCGCAAACGACTGCGGTGGGCGTGGGATTCCTGACGCAAATGTTGAGTTCATTTGGAAGGATGCGCTTGCTTTAGGCGGGGATCCAAGTGAATCGGTGGACACTGCACTCGCTGGTCCCGCGGTGCCCACACGCAGCGTCCGCGCTTGACTCCGGACTGCTCAGCAAACGAAGCAAGGCTCGAAGCTGGTAACCCGCTGCCAGGATGACTGCAACAGGCAGATCACAGCAGCCACTAGCAGCAGAGCGGCGTGCATTGACCCAAGCACCGCACCAGGCAGTCAACCATGTGTGGGTCCACTCGAGCCAGCATCTTACTCGGCAACATTAGCACCATCCAACTCGAGCACAGCAGTGTAGATCCCGGTGCCCAGTGGCTAAAGATATGTTTCGTGACCCTACCGCGCCTGGTGGGGCACGCCGGGTCGCGGAACTTCGGCGGCTCGTGGCCCCTCTTTGCTGGGCGGGTCCGAAGATTAAATGCCGGTTCGGCCTCAGCGTCCCCAGATCTCCGACGATATGCTTTTCTCTTATCCCATCGTCGTCATCGATGACACGAGGGCCACATCGTGGCCCGTGGTCCCACTGTGGCCCACTACGCGCTTCCTGTGGTGATTCGACTGTCTGCGGCCGCCTCGCGACACTCTCGCGTCCGCGCTGGACTGGCCCCAGGGTTGGCCCTTGCGAGGTCCCCTCGCCGTAGAGCTGCTGTACTTCAGTGCGCGCACGTCCAGGTCGACTGCCCAACTGCCGCTACGAAAACGCGGCAAGCGATGCCCCCAGAGACGCTCGGGCGTTGGCAGAACTGGGTTTGGTGGGACCTAGTTTAGTGATGTGTACTGGGGGACGCCCCCCGCCCCGTTCCACTAACCGGAACTGCCGCAACCAGAAAAAACACAAGCTACGGCAGACCTGGTTGCGTGATTCTGGCAAATTCAGGGGCTCCAGGGCCCCGCTACCAACCGGGTCCCCTTACCCGGGGTCTTGGCTATACCCGAGACGCGCCCGCTCACTATGCCCACTGATTCTGGCAGAACTCGTGGACGTGCGTGTGTGACCGTACATGGACATTATGTTCGAACCCTGTGGCCCAAGATGCCCCCCAGACCCCCCGAAATGAATATTAATGGCGTGGCGACGGGGGGGGGCGGTGAGTGGACAGAAATATTCGAACCCCAAAGCACCGCCTTCATTGAGATAAACATTGACGTCGGGGGCGCGGGGGTGATTTAGAATCTCCCTGGAATGTGTAACAGGGTTCGAATAGATTGTCTTGTCTATCTACTGGAGGACGCCCGCGGGTGTGCCCGCCGGCGTGGCCCGGCGATGCACCAGCTCACTGCGCCCGCCCGCTGTGCCCGAGTCTAACTACGATGCCCAGGCAGTGGTGCACGGGCGCACCCCTCCGCGGTGCCCGGGGAGTCTTGCAGTGGGATCAACCTGGCGCACCACAGCCTCTACAGAAGAAAAGAAACAAAAACATGAACGTAAACTCTTGGCGCTCCGCGCGGGCTTCTTGCCTCCGCACCTGCGCGCTCCGCAGCATCTTCCATCTTGCAAGCGGCGCCTTCAGCGCTCCGCTATATGCGCTTTTTTCTTCCTCCAATCTACAGGGCAGGTTTTAATACATAGGATGTTTAATACATTGGAGTTTTAATAACGATCAATTGACTAATGAATCAATACATGAATTCAGCATTGCTTTTAAAATTAGACCCCTTTTGTTCTGAATATATGATACGCACGCGGAGCATGTATTAAAACCGGCGCTGTACACAACGAGCCAGTTCTGGGGCAGCCGGGGCGCCCCCAGGACACTCCAGCTTATGTATCGGCGGAGCCTTTTTCCCGTGGGCCTCGGGGCCCGAGGGCGGCTCCCGAGGGCCAGCGCCGATCCAAGAACTCCGCGCGGACCTCGGAGATTTTGTGCTCATGTCACTCTTCGCTCGCCTCACCACTGGCGCTCGGCCTTCAACGCTTGCGTTGGGGGCCCCGCCATGTGACGACCACGGCGACGGCCACAACAACGGGAACGGCGCGAGCAAGCGCGGAAGAACGGATTCTACGAGCCAACGCAGGGAGGGACGTGCCCCCTAAGGTTAGCCCGTGGCACCCTTGGCCCCCAGGTTAGCTCACGCGTGGGGGAACAG